ATGAAAAAGAATTAAAATGTCTGGTGGATGTACAAGACCATGCACTGTACTATGAAAAAGAATTTAAATGTCTGGTGAATGTACAAGACCATGCACTGTACTATGAAAAAGACTTAAAATGTTTGGTTTATGTACATTGTACAAGGCCATGCACTGTACAATGAAAAAGAAAAAGAATTAAAATGTTTGGTGGATGTAAAAGACCATGCACTGTACACGGAAAAAGAATTAAAATGTCTGGTGGATGTACAAGACCATGCACTGTACTATGAAAAGAGTTAAAATGTTTGGTAGATGTACAAGACCATGCACTGTATACTATGAAAAAGAATTAAAATGTCTGGTAGATGTAAAAGGCAATGCACTGTACTATGAAAAAGAATTTGAACGTCTGGTGGATGTACAAGACCATGCACTGTACTATGAAAAGAGTTAAAATGTCTGGTGGATGTACAAGACCATGCACTGTACTATTGAAAAGAGTTAAAATGTCTGGTAGATGTACAAGACCATGCACTGTATATTATGAAAAAGAATTAAAATGTCTGGTAGATGTACAAGACCATGCACTGTACTATAGAAAAAGAATTAAAATGTCTGGTGGATTTACAAGACCATGCACTGTCCCATAATAAATGTATGGGTTTGAAAAATAAAAACATTAATTCCGTATAAAATACAAGTTTGTACTATTATCCTGGATGTACAAGACCATGTACTGTCCCATAATAAATGTATGGGTTTGAAAAATAAAAACATTAATTCCGTATAAAATACAAGTTTGTACTATTATCCTGGATGGCCACATTTTCTTATCATTTGGGATGTTTAAATCATTAGAGCGTATTAAATAATAAAGATAAAAAGATTTTATTGGATTTTTGGTCTTTATATCATGTTTTTTTATTTATTTTCTTAAACTACATAATCCATAAATATACTTTGCTTGTCTGTCGGGGTGTCTGTTCGTTTGTCTGTCCATTTGTATCCAATAAACGTCAAAACGGTTGAACCAATCAGACCCAAATTTTGTGTGGGACCTCACATCATCGACCCCAGGGAAGGTTTATGGAATATTAAAATTCCCGTACAAATAGTTGGAATTTTGTTTTAAATGTACCAACTCGAAAAGAAAAATCCGCCGAAAAATTTAATCAAACAGAACTATTATTTTGAAATATATGGTCTACGACATCGGTTGGCATTGGCAAAGAAAGGGATTAGAAAATCAGAGTTTGTTGCAAGAACTCAGTTCTATAATTTGTCTATAATCTAGTTACACTTATTAATATTAGTAAAAACAATTTGCAACAATCATGGACAAGCCGGTCATTGGTTGGATATTTAAAAGAATACCCTTGACCATTTCGATCAAATATGCAGACAGGGAACATTTAGAAGTCCATTCAAGGCTGAAATATTTTCAAATGAAATAAAAAAATGTACATTTTTAATTCTTTTTAATTCATTAACAAGGAAGGTTTGCAGAACAGTGAAGCACAAAATCTAGAATTATTTCTGAAAAAAGTCGTCAACCATGCTTTATTTATACTTTATTATCTGATACTAAAGAATTAAATATTTCGTATAAAAAATTAATTTTTCAATAAAAAGCTTGTTAAGAAAAACTGCAATATTTGGGAAATATGACCATGAGTTTTTTCATACTTTGGACTTATGATTTAAAATTTTCAATCCGAGCAGCATATGTCACCGTGTTTTATTGCTGGTAATTGACACGCAGAACAGCTTAATAGAAAAAAAAACATTTTATCCGGTCTGTTTATCCGGTTTGTTTATCCGGTTTGTTTTCCAGTTTGTTTATCCCGTTTGTTTATCCGGTTTGCTTCTCCGGTTTGTTTCTCCGGTTTGTTTCTCTGGTTTGTTTCTCCGATTTGTTTCTCCGGTTTGTTTATTCGGCTTGTTTATCCGGTTTCTTTATCCGGTTTGTTTATCCGGTGTGTTTATCCGGTTTGTTTCTCCGGTTTGTTTATCTGGTTTGTTAATCCGGTCTGTTTATCCGGTTTGTTTATCCGGTTTGTTTATCTGGTTTGTTTATCCGGTTTGTTTTCAATAAAAGTTGAAACGGTTGAACCAATCGAGCCAATTTTTGTGTTTGCTTTACTAGAACATATCACTCAATTTTTAAAAATATTTATCTTAATTTTGAAAATCCTAAAATAATAATCAGGAAATTCAGCAAATCTTTTATTGTATGTATATATAATGAACGAAGAAAAATAATTACATAATTCATAAAAACTGAATATTTTACTTGAAATAAAGGAACGTCAAGTTAATTGTAAATTACACGTATAAGATTAAAATCTTGAATGTTTTAAATAATCGACCCGTCTTAATGAAAATCTATTTAGAAACACTTTTGGGAATTGGGAACAAAATGATAGGGTTTAAGATATGA